GATATATGTGACGCGATATCAGTAATGACCATTGTTTTCACTGCTACGACTATTAATGAGTGTTATTGATAAAATACTTATTACAACCCAACATGAATACATTCTATGTCCCACTATGTGTAGAAATCAGATAAAATTAGAAAGATATAAATTGAAACTGTTGAATTAACATATTATTATTATTAGCCTTAACTCGACATAAGATATAATACCTGGAATGAGCTACCGAGGGATTTAGTGTTTGAGTTTAAAAGGGACATAGAGAGAACATCGCATAATACCTGACGTGATTACGCAGGCTTTGGTCATAGTTAATACACCATAGAGAAGTATACCGAAAGGAGCTCTGCTAACAAGACAGAGAGTTAGAATAATTAAGTTCAACTATGTAAAATGAGCAGTGGTGTCACATGCCACTGTGTTTACCAATTTACATGTATGTATAGTCACCCATCGATCTCTGCAGGTTAGGGCTACGGAACACATTCCCAAATGGCTGTAAGAGCACAAGAAAATCACCGGATACAGTTAGTCCTTGAAACAAATGTCCAACATCATTTGTCGTAAAGCATATCATAGAGAAGAGTCACAAAGTTGATTTCACTTGTGTCTTTAAGCCCATACGTAAAACGAGTTTGGATCATATAAAGAAATTCATTGAAGCCTTAGTCATAAATTTTTTGTGTGCGAAAATTACTGCCTCGATAATTCAATTTTAGAATCAAGATTCATCAATATTTTCACCACCACCACCATCCGCTTTTCTTTTTACCCCATTTTTCTACCTCTTATCTGTGACTATCATCTGTAAATATCTTGACTTATATTGATAAAAATTGTAAGCCTTTATGTTCTGTTGTCTTCAATATGAATATGTATGACAAGAATGTGTGTGTGACCAGAATGTCGAAAATGTGTTACGCATATAATACACTACACTTTTCAGATAAATTACGTCCTCTTACTGTTTTGTTGAAATTCATAAAAGGAACTTTCACTGGTTTACATTACAGATAGTCTGTTGTGGTAGTGCGTTTTTGAATCGAACTTTGCCGAAAATACACATGTGAAAAAAAAATATACACGGGGTGTCTTTCACCTCGACGCTTGACAAAAACACGTATGCCACTGAAGTCGGTCGGATCGAGCAGGCTTCAAATATGATCTAGTATTTCCTCCATACGGTAATAAAAAAAACGATAAGTGAACAGTTAAAACTGAATAGGTTACGCTCTAGAGTAACATCGAACGACCCTATAGTATTTAGTAACTAGTAATAAACGATAGTAGATGATGTGCTCAAAATAGCAAAGCGCATATATGTGCAAAAATAGTTGAGATGAGATGTATGAAAATAATCAAGTTGTTTTTTTTTTTGTTTTTTTAGTGAGAACAACCCCATTTACCTTCAGCAAATAATATCGATGATTCAGGATTCATTACAGAGGATCGATTATCAATTGATAAAAGATTACCGATAAGATGAGAACCACTATTCGTTGAATTTCCATCACCTATGCCTTGGCTTGATAAGCGTTGATAATTGCGCAATTGGTCGATCAGCCAGTCTTTGAAACATGTTAAACACAACCATCCAGGATCATAATCCACTTCTAATTGAGTTAGATAACTGAAATGAAACGTTGAAATACAATAATTAATAAAAAGCTTTATCACCGAAACCTTTTTTGTTACTTTTACTTTTTATCTCTCTATTATTCGATTGTGATGTGGTTCATTGGCTCAAGCAGTTGGATATAAACCAAATCAGTTATAGGTTCGAAACTTGCTTCATCTACTTCAGTTTTGGGAACTGAATAGTATCATCAGCTGTCTGACACAGCTCACATCCTGGAACGCGGAAAATCTGTTTCCAGAAATTGAATATAATATAATGATACGACTGGAGACATTATTCTAAAAGGGTTGATGTTAGAAAATGACAATTAAGTCTTAGAGCTCTAACAAAGGGCAACTAAGCTTATTATTTAATTATTATTCAAGATACAATCTCGCATAATTCTTACTTTTTATCAGGCGCCGGTAAACTTAACGTTTTACTCACGTTAAAGTTAGGTTAAGTAGTAAGATAAAGTATTCTCGCTTTCATTATTATTATTATTAGTAGTAGTAGTAGAAGTAGTAGTACTCCTAGTCTGTAAAATGGGCTATTATTTTTTAATCACTAATATGGCTTGATTTATATACGCTTTCTATCTTTTCTGCATGCATGCATTCAAAATAGAAACATTTATTAAGAACTGTAAATTCAGCTAGGAGAGAGAGAGAGGATGGTAAGAGGTAAGGGAAAATGAGTAGATGAAAAGCGATAATCAGTCACCAAATTTTGTTTAATAAGACGCTGAATGCCTCAAACAACAACAACAACAACACATACCCACTTCTGCATTTACAGCAGACAATCATATCCACCCTACTTCTTCTTCTTCTTAAGAATTCTATCACATTTGAAAACAAACAAAATATTATTTAGAGACACCTAAACGTATATACATCAATTCACACGTTTATATCATTTCCTGGGTAAGTCATTTATTTAAAAAAAGAAATCAGCTTTAATATAGACGTTGACTAAAATGCATTATAGCCTGACGTTAACGTAAAACAAAAGGTATCAAGTAAAGGCTAACTTAGATACTAACTTCCATCTTTCAAAAATGAGGGATGGGTTTGATGCCATGCCATGACGTGCCTCATTTAAACTGTAACATGATCATAAACAGAGTAGTTAGTTCATCAATAATACATCACACTTTTCTTTCCTTCACGTTCCCCAGTGGAACATAAGGCTTCAAGCTACAGGCTTGAAGTTTCTGTAGCAGTGTTTATTTTACAGGATAGGGTTGCTAGCCTCATGCCTCATGCTTTAGCAGCATTATTTCTGATTTAGCGAGGTAAAGGAGTGAGTTGGCCAGGGATCGAACCCCGGACTAAGTGCATGATCGGCGAGCGTCCTAACCGCTATGCCACCGACGCACACATCACACTTTACCACTAGTCAAAGCTATACAGTCAGATAACTAAAACAAAAGCAATACAAATTAGTCTGATGGGACTAAGTGATTTGCTTAAATTACACATTTTGAAGAAATATCAGTCATACCCGCTTCATTGTACATATTAATGAATCACCTTTTGACTAACACGATAGTATTAATCTTTCTTTCAAATAATAGCATCAAATTATTCAAAGTGTCTAGTCAACTACTGACTATTTTGTGTGTGTGGAATGAAAAGCCAGCTACAACTTCTACGTTTTACCTGAATAATATTTATCTATAGGATGCCTGCCTTACTTACTCTCACTTCCTCTATACAATACATGAGATCCTGTCATTTTTAAAATAATAATAAAGACAACTAAAGCGCGACAATGAAACGAGGAGGAATGCTAAAAGCACTTGAATATAACAACATTAAACTTTTAGACTTTGATCGCATTGAACCACCTGTGTATTTGATTGAACATTGATATACGGAATAAAATGAGATTTGTGTGAGTGTGCATATATGTAGCAAATACAAGGCAACACTGACAAAAGAAAAGAAAATCTACCCTGTTAATTTAAACAACCACGGCTTAGGGAAAACTGATTCATTTAGTAATAGAGCAAGTCTAATGTTCACAGTTTAATACTCAAAATCAGTATGTTCTTTGTTGAGAAGCACCAAGACCACTGAAAAAGCTTAACAATTACTCTACACATGGAGGATTTCACCATGAGCTGACATCAGTTAGATAACCAATGAAAAACCTGGGAGCACTGGACAGCTGTTTCGTCCTGTCTTGGGACTCTTTATCAGTACGCATCCACCGGGATTCGAACTCAGGACCTTCTGGTTACAAGGCAAGCTTGTAGACCATTGAGCCACTGGGACCCGACCCAATGGTCGTTGAAAATTACTCTACACACTCTGATAAATAGTTCTTTTATGAGTTATTCACACACACGCACACAGAGTATACATGATGTCACTGGTAGCAACGTTTAACTCTTGTGTATACCCTGGCAGAATTATTTCCACTCTGAACAAACTAAAACAAAAGTATATATTTAGCCAATCCCGTCACTTGCAAAATAATTTAAGATCATTTTATAAAATACTGATAAATAGTCGCATTTCACATTCTCTCTTATCACTTGAACAGATGTGAACTGAACCAATTTCACGATAAGCATACTTTAGATGAAATTGAAAATAAAGGAAACCTGATGACTGACTGACTGGCTCTGTGATAGGATGATGTCACATAAGAGATAGTGTATATTACTACAAAAGTAGGCTTACCTTATTTTGTGCCTTGCATCATCACTATCTATCGGCATTGAAGTTAACTGATTACGCAGCATGATAGAGAAATTAGCTACTACAGTTTCTACATCTCCATAAACTGAAAGAGAAACAAACAAAAGTAAGAGTAAGAATGAAGAAAGCTCAGTTCACCCACTTAATTAGCCAAAAAAATGAATACTGATAAAAAGAAACGAAAAGTGGCGAGATTAGGTTAGCCATTATAAGGACTTCAATGGGAAAGTGTAATGAAGTTGAAAAAAACAAGGAGACATAATTTTACGCTAAAATAAGGCAGCTGTATTTCTCATCATTTCACCTTCTAATCTCGAAATGATAACCACATTACCACAATATGTTATACACTGTTACTTCTTCTTTTTTTCACATATATTCCTATTGATAAGATTAACAGTATTTTGTTCTGCTCACATTTTCTTTATGTATTGTTATCAAGTGTATAGAAGTGAACTAGTGGACCAGAGAAACACACTTCACTTTATTTCGTTTAATATTAGTGGAAAACGTCTGAGGACTTTATTATTATTATTATATATTATTGTTCCCTTGGGTTCCTAGTGGAACATAGGACTTCAACTGCACGTCTCCACTTGCCACTTCTGTCTTCCTTCTGCTGTACTTTTCACCTTCATCCATTTTAGTTCATACTCTTTCAACTCCTCTTCACACGATCTCCTCCATGTCACCCTTGCACTGACGTCCCACTCACCACTTCCCTTTCGGCCTGGTTCCACTCGACCAACGGCCTGACGCACGCGCGATGTCACCAATCGGCCTCCTCAGCGAGTATCCAATCCGTCTCACCTTTCTCCTGCGTATTTGTTGGGCGATTGATTCTTGTTTTGTTTGTTCCCATAGTTTCTTGTTGGTGATTCTTTCCGGCCCAGCCATCTGATCTTCAGTAAAGAGCCAGCGAAGACAGTTGTTGATAAAGGTCTGGTCTGCAACAGGCTGTTGGAAATATTCTTTGTGACCTGCCCGCCAAGTTTCTGATCCGATCCGTATAGAAAAACTGACTTTACGCGCAATGGATAGCGCATCGGATTTCTATTCCGAAGGTTGCGGGTTTGCATCCCGCCGGGGATGTTGCCTTTTCTCCACTGACTGAGATATCTTTAAGGCAATGGATTGTGTAGAATATCCTTCGCTCAGATCCACACTTGAACAGTGATATCAGGGTAGTTCAAGCTCTCTTCAAATCAACTGCTCTATTAATCTCGCCTAGATTACTAGCTCGCTAGTTTTCTAGCCGGTCCCAAGCCCGGATAAAGAGGGAGGGTTGGGTATGGTGCTAGCAACTTCACCCAAATTGCTACAGAAATTTCAACGCATAAATATATTAAAATAGCTGAGGACTTTAGTAACCTATATGTATATTCGCATACTATTAAACATACAAAATGAGTTGTCAACCGATAAAGGATATGAAATTCGATCTCCCTGACTAAAATATACCAATGATAACTTCTTCAAGTGGAACAATGAGTGAGTAGAGCACAGCTTGTAATCTATGAGAAGGCGACAACCTCTTTTATATTTCCTGCGTTCCTTGTAATGACACAGTGAAATAAACAGAGTCTTATCCACTATCTCTTAATGTGATGGTAAAATTCATGAAAGTGATTCTTCCATCCTGTAAGATGGATAACCAAAATTCACCTGAAAATATGGCGAAACCATCATTTCACAAATGCAGTACACGTAAGATTCAGGATATGAATGCAAGAATGACTGACATGAAAAGCTGTTCCGATCAGCGACAATTAAAAGGAAGATCTTTGAAGTATCCAAATTGGGGTCGAACAGTTAACATAATATGACCTCAAAATACCAGTACATGATCATATGACACTTTATCCGCCAACTTTGATACCTACAGTCGTACAAACATTTTTAGTCGACAACATCTCCAGTTACTTTGCATTTCGGTACGGTTTCTATTTTCCCGTATTCTCATATTTCTCTTACTACTAATCATATCATCACTCTCCGACACATTCTACAACATAGACACACTTTTCGGCGTCCAACAATTGTCATATTTCTTGACTTGAAGGCGGCCTTCGACTCCGTGGATCGAAAGGTACTATGGCAATGTTTGACTGTGAAGGGAGTGCCAAGAAAGTACATTTCACTAATCAAAGCACTCTATTCAAACTCACGTAGCCGTGTAAGGGCTTATGGGGAATTATCATCTGAATTGATAACAACCAGTGGTGTCCGATAGGGATGTCCACTTTCCCCATTCCTGTTTAACTTCATCATAGATATGCTAATGGAAGTATCCTTAACTGA